TCATAAATATTTTTCAACTCCAGATACTTCTATAGAGGAGTTTCCTAAGTTGTAACTGTAGTCTGTAACATATCTCAGATGGGCTAATTTACACGTTGGAGTGTTAAAGATAAGTCCGTTGTCATCTGCCAAACTTTGAAGTCAAGTCAGATCTTCCTAAAGTGTCAGTATATCCACTCGGTTGCGTATCTCTCTTCAAAGTTTCACACCTTCAGCAAAAGGTAACAAGTCTGACGATACCTGTTGTGGAAGATCGTTTATATAAGTCAAGAAAAGAGGAGACCATTTTACTGAACCCTGGATGACTCAATAATACATTCAATATCTCGAGAGAAAGTGACGTTAACCCTGACCTTGAAATGTCGATTATTTAAATATGAAGTGAGCCAGTCAATTAGAGATGATTTGATACCCAGTCGTTTGGGCTTATTGATAAGACGTACATGTTTGACCCTATCAATTGATTCTGAGAAGTCAAGGTAAATGACATCAACCTTCCTTTTGCGATCAAGGGTGGTTGTCCATCTGTCCACCGCAGTCAGCAGGTTGGTTACAAAAGAACAACCCTTCCTGAAACCATGTTGTTGGGGTGAAAAGAAGTTTAAGGACAATAAATAGTCGTGTATAGCGTCGCATATCAGGGACTCAATAATTTTTGAAGGTATGGAGAGAAGTTGAGATTCTCATCAAAATCAATCAAATGTGTGAACTTGAGGTCACGGTGACCGCCTTTTATAACCGGGTTCGTAGTTGCGGTGCATAAGAGCACTTCATGACCTGTAAAAGTAGAATATGCGGTTAAAGAAAAAAAGAAAATTAAAAAAGCGTTCGAGGATCGAACGGGTTTTTTATGGTCATTGGCACAATTGGAGTCTTACAGATTAACCATTTGATGGGTTCAATGTAGGTATACATGTTATAGTGAGACTATATCTCAACAAGTCACAATAAAACACTGTCTTGGTTGGTGGTTAGCTACTTAAAGTATGAGCAGTACAAGTGTTTTCTGATCATACTAAAAATAATCGAAAATCAAAGCCACATGTGTAGTAGGTTTCAGCTACACGATAAGAAAAAGAACACATATGGTCTGTTATTTATATAAAATAAGGTTTTATGAAACATAACTATAGTGATATGTAAATAAGGGCTTTCGTCTAAATTTGAACGAATAGTTTCACAATATTTGATATGTTCCAGAATTTCGTATGGACAACTGACTACTGTTACGGGAGAACTGAAGACTTTTGACGGATTAAAACCTTTTATTGTACATTAATAATTTACTGTGCTTTTAGATGTAATTGTTTTACTTAACTTTTGAACTTGTTTGTTAATATCATTATTTCGGACATTTTGGTTTGTCTTTGGTTTGGTATTTTGGTGCTCTCTTTGTCTTTGGTTTGGTATTTGGGAGTTTTGCTCCGGGAACCTACAAAATTGAAGAAAGACATTTGGTCGATTATTTGTGAATTACGAATAAATTTGATATCTAAATTGGAACTTGGTTCTGTTGTTAATTTGGGTTCGTAATTTGCAAGTAGATCGATAGTCCGTACTTCAATAACTGGGACGAGCAAAACTTGGACGTAACAACTACAATTAGTTTAACGTGAGCGTAGCCGTGAGAGTCGTGTCGTAAACTCAATATTCTTGTAGTGTGTCCTACTGATGTCGACATATATAGGTAGCATGTGTCACAAATCGAAAGTGAGATGTCTGAAGGCAGAAGGTCAAGAAGATCGATGAGAAGAGAACGAGAACAGAAAATGGTTGGTGTAGAATTGAAAGAACAGTGAAGTCTGAGACAGTTGATTGGTACTTTACAATTGAAGTGTTTACTGTATGGTTCTGTAATTTTGTGTTCAAACGCATTTCATTGTCTCCACTTGTGTTCTGGTTCACTACACTGTCACCTAATTACTCGTCTTAGAATAGCCTTTGGATCCTTTAGCTGTCTAATAATGATGGATATTTTATCATCTCTCGTTCTAGGATGGTTTATGGCTGTGGTGGTGGACTTAAAATCAATTTGCGGACTTATTTGGAGACTGAAGGAAGGAGGATTTAACTGAAATCTCGATGGCGAATTCCTTCAGATTTAATATTTTGCCTCGTGAAATAGTGCTCTAGTTGAACGAACCACAACTCGGGGTTACTACGATCGAATTTTGGCGGTTGGACTTTCGTAGTCATAATAGTGTCTATCTCTACTGGTGACAAATCCTCTAGACTCTTGGATTGCATTGAGTCTGACATGTGGTGAATGACCGCTATAGTAATATAATAAGAACGGGGTATAATAATGACCACAAATTGAGCACCTTGCGATAAAAAAGCTACGCATAAATATGTACATTAAACATTAGTTAGGGATAATCAGAAGATCTACTTTTACGATTGAGAAAAAAAATAATGGTAGTAAGCAAATCAGAAATCGAATTTGTGTTCAGTACAGGATTCACCACAGTGGAGCGGAAGGTTATCAGTTCTAATATACGAAGCTTTTCAACATTTAATATAATATAATAGGAAAAGTAATGCTTATACAAAATAAGGACGTGAGTGAATACTTGAGCTCTATTGTTTTAATACATACTTAGTAGTTTGGGGTCAACTCTTAACTAGTCAACCTATGTTGTTACATGCGTTCAATCCAATTCACTACGCTGTACCTTTAGTTTCTGTTTGCTGCCCTTAACGATGAATTCGATTCACACATATTCGTTTTGCAGTACGTTTTGGTTAATTCCAGCTCTTTGTCGTTGACAATGTGACAATCATTCTATGATGCTGATGTCGTTCTCGTATATTCGCAGCTTCTTAGACTCGTTTTTCCTATCGTATTTTGGTTCCGTCATTTTACCAAGCCGTCCTATAACATACACTTTCAAACGCGTGAGCTCAAACTTGATAGTTGGCATTCGATAACAACTATTAAAATGACGAGTTAATAAATGAAGACTATAACGATAAATTCATGTGAAAATTCAAATAATTTGCATCACTTAATCAATAAACATTAACCACATTTTGTTCCTGAACATTCGAAATATAAATCCCAGCTACCCTCATATATAATTGTAGACTTAATCCGATTTGAGAACAACGGAATAAAACAAGTCAAATGAAGTTTGAATACGTATATTTCGTAAACGCACTGATCTGGACAGACAGTTAGACAGAAGTAGTGCAGAAAACAAAGAGGAGAGAGTAAAGCGGAACGAAACGACCTTGAGTGGAAAAGGCAAGTGAGCCAACTCAATTTAATCGGGCGTCACTTAATGTTTGTAGTCAGACCAAAAATAAGTTACAGACATAATGAATAGGATATGCAATCAACAAATATACGATCACATAGATACAGTCACGTTAATAAGCTAATAAGTGACAGGGTCAGAATGTGGCTTGGGAGAAATGATTTAATCGGTCTTTTCAGAAACTAGGATAACCTTTGTGTACAGCAGTGTATTTACGAGCGGTAATCAATGAGTCGTGCTGTGTACCTTCAAAAAACCGGGACAACAAGTTAAAGGTAGGGCCATTACTTTTTAACAATAGCTTTGCGATCAATAATGGTGATTGCAAAAACTATGGGAATCAATGAAAAATGCAAATAGTAACAAAAACCGGTCAAAGAAATCAGTCTATTTTAAGTATTCTCACAAACTTTATCTATCTCGTAACCTTACGCAGGTAATATTTTATCCGTAAACCCATGTCATAAAATATTGATTACGCCTGTAAATTTGGTCTTTACCGGCCACGTATTAAAATTAATTTTGACACTATTCATATTCTTATGTACTTGAATTTACTCCATGTTGCTACAACCGGTGTATATTCTTACGTATCAACCTGAGTACCATATTGCTGTAAATAGTGTAGCATTTGACCGTGCCTGTAAACCGGAATGTCTACTGCAAAGTGTTGTCATAAGTTGCTGTTACTGGGACTGAATTTATGTTGGCACTTTAGGGGATATACTGAAGTGTTTGGAGTGCTATGTATCACTCAAAGGTCCTCTATGAATCACCCATACTCCAATATGTAAGTAACTAATGAGTTCTGACGTTCTACACGAAATTTGAAGATACCCCCCTCAAACGATTTCGTCCCTTACCTCTGAATGAGCTTAGTGATATTCTTGCCTTTTTGAAGTGAAAGAGGAAGCACCAACTTTCCTTATCCTAAATAAGGAGGAACAAAACTGCTGAGAACTAATTGAAAAATAATTTAAATGACCAGTTCCAAAAGGTTAAGAAGAAATGGCCAAAACATGAGAAATATTTTCGTCATAAAGATGAAGTCTGAGTGGGTTATTTCATGAATAACATCGCGGACAAATGGCAATTAACTCGCCACTGAAAACCAGGAAGCTCTGGACAGGTGGGTAATCCCATTATAGGATTCTTCAACAGTGTACTTCCACGACTCACTCTAGAGACTGAATCCCATAGAGATCCCTTTGCTCTTAACTCATCAAGCTAACATCCAATAGTTAACAAATCTGAATTCAGTCAGCTGTTAAGATTTGTTATTTGAAAGGTATAAGAATATTATCAGAAACCTTTGCACAAATTCATGTTATAGATTTAAAAAATAAATCAATGTCCCTTTACAAAACTGCTGTCCTTTACAAAAATATCATAAGCAAACTTACGTAAATCTCTCAAGTATTGTTTAACGGTAATTAAATTATGGTTATTCACACAATGAACAAAAGTTGCCAAATATCAGAGTAATTTTATCTTTTTAACTAAATGATATGAAATTTTTGTCTCCAACTCTTAGAACTGTTAATGAAAAATGGTTACAACATAAGACAGGGTGGTTGAATGCAACCACTACGAAGTGGTGGTTGTGATTTCTAACATTCATTTAGTGGCATCCACTATTTTAAGGAATGATAAAGAACGTTATCTTTTCAAATATACTATCCGGAAAATAGAGGAATTATTTCAGACCAAAGGCTAAGGTGATGTTTTGCTTGCTATCCACGCTTTAGGATGATCACTAGAGTGAAAATTTGACTTGTTTAAATTATGTAGTCAGCTACACTCTTCTTGGAGAGGCTATTTGAACTTCTGCTTGTCGATGGCGTTCTCTGAAGGTGATTTTGAGAAAGGGAAGAAGCTCTTCGTTCAAAGATGTGGACAGTGTCACACCGTTGAGAAAGGTGGTCCACACAAAGTAGGACCCAATCTAAATGGTTTGTTTGGACGTAAAACTGGTCAAGCTCCTGGGTTTACCTACACGGCTGCCAACATTAGTAAAGGTAATATCCAAAAGCTTTTGTTTGTTGTTATTATTTACTTCACTTCAGTAGAAAGATTAAAGTGAATAAGTAATTGTTCAAGTTTACAGGAATCATAGTTCTCAGAGACAGATCAATGGATTCCCACAACATATAGAAGTGGGGATTCATCAACGAAACAAACAAAGTTTCTTGAGTCTGAACCTTATCGATAGATGCGTTGCTAGCTTTCGCAAGCTTCAACAGCTACCATATAGTCCGTTATTCGTCACAGTCGTATCAGTTCAGTAATCTCAAAAGGTGACTTGTTCGCATAAGAGGGTTCAGATTTTTCACTCGAGATATGGACAATTCCTAATCGTTATCGAATTTTCCGTCACATAGCATCTTGTTATGAAAATCCATTTTTTTTCATCACCACTAAAATACTACTTTCTTGCTAACCTCCCTAATTTCTACCCATTTATCCAAATTGTATCAACTTTGACTAATGCATATCTGTGATCGTTTTGACCGTAAATACGGCTGCCCCCTGGGATTATGTCTATGGAACTGAGTTCGCTATTCCTCGACATGTAGTGGAACAAGTGGGTTATTTTCGGGTTGATATCTTCGGACTTGATACGGTTCATTCAGAATGATATGGTTCAGCGACCACTCGTGTCCTAGGATAGAAACTATAGGTGGTCCTATTGCGATCCTAATATCTCAGCTTAAATATTTCCACTTTTATGCTGACAAGGTTTCTTTTGCCTTTGTTTCATTCCAAACGTAACTTCTGATGTCTAAATTTTGCATGACTATTTCATTTTATTTAAACACCGAATGATTATGCGCCACATAAATCATTCGGTTTGTGTGAAGGCTAGGATACTGCCCGGGTGCCATAACCGAAGCAGGTGGTTTTCTTAGGGTGCCACACCCAAGCCTTTGACCTAAAGGTCTAATCCACAAGGCAGTGGGGCAACGTGAGGAGATGCAGTTCTATGGTAGCTGGTGACCAACAATAGGTTCGTACGCCATTTGTTCCCTCAGGATTCTGGAGCCCATATGCACTATCAGTTTGTAATCGGGGTTTTCCAACTCCCGTGTTCAACTCTGTATCCACCGACCCAGTTAAAGCGCCGGACATACGCTATTGCCCCCAAATGCCCTGGTACGGCCGAGAGTGAGGAGAGTCCACTCTCCCTCTCGAAATGCTCTCACATGGCCACGCGTATATAGCCTCTGCCAGGGAAGTCCTACTCACTGCCTTCTCGTGGCGGGGGTGTTGTTTACGAAAATGAGAGGACGAAAAGCAAATGTCCGGCCCTTTAACCGGATCCCAAACCAATGGTGCACATGGGCTCCATTATCCCGAAGGAACAAATGGCGTATGAACCAATCGTTGGTCACCGGTTTCCATGGGACTGCGTCTCCTCACGATGCTCCACTGCCTTGTGGGTTAGACCTCCAGGTCGAAGGCTCGGGGTGTGGCCCCCTAAGAAAACCAACTGCTTCGGTTTGGGCACCCGGTCAGTATCACAGCCCTCACACATATCGAATGAGATTTGTGTGGCGCATATGTATTTGGTGCCTCCTTGTACCAATGTCTATGTGTTAAAATAAATAAATAACACGCTATTCGTCCTCTCAATTTTGTAAACAACACCGCCGCGAGAAGGCAGTGAGTAGGACTTCCCTGACAGTGGTTGTATGCATGTGGTCATGTGAGAGCATTTTGAGAGGGAGAATTGACTCTCCCCACTCTCGGCCGTAGCATGACTTCCTAATCATGATATAATATTTTCTTTGCCGAATACTAATATCCTGATTCCTCGTTGTCTCTTTTTCTCTTCCCAAATTTATTTCACTGGATTATACTCTTTCAATAACATCCACAAACCCTACTCTTTCCGATTACTGCTTATACTCTTACTACCTCCACCACCACGGAATTCGAATCGACAACTGCATCTCTGTGCTAATGTGGTATGGCAACTCGAACTTATGTACGTACGTACGAAGTTCTACGTTGTAACTGACTGACTGTTAAAACTGCCCTTTGATTGATGATGCCTAATTACTTGTATTTTATACACCCATTCGCTGATCCAACGGATTTTATTCTTATGATTTCTAGTTACCAGTACATTATGTCCGTCTAGACTGTGTATAAAAGATGTAAGCGGGATTGAAAAATTACGCTGATTTAGGAAGTTATTTACTAGTGGTAGCAAACTATTACGTACTATAAAAATCTTCTGTTCACAAACCTGAACAAACATTTATCTTCAGTCTCCAAAGATTATCTGTGTTTTACGAATAACTGGTAATTTTCACTTATGCAAACTTGTGAGAAATTTTTTACTAACAATATTATTATCGCATAAACCATCAATACGGTTGCTAATTCATTTAATATTTAATAAAGTAGGTCAAGTATTTAGGGTGTAAATATGCTTTTTGCTTCTTTATTTCATGAACCACTATTTCCACTTATATTATCAATTCTTTCATTATTGCTTAGGCATCATATGGAATGAGCAGACTCTATTTGAATATTTGGAGAATCCAAAAAAGTATATCCCTGGTACAAAAATGGTGTTTGCTGGTTTAAAGAAGGAAGCTGATCGCAATGATATTATTTCCTACCTTAAAGAAGCAACAAAATAAGAATATTCTAGATATCTGACTCCTAGATTTAACTTCGTTGTAGCGGTTCTTTAATTAACTAAATGTGTATAGAAACATAAAACCTGAGCTTCCAAGTACGTGAAAATGAATACTCTTGGCTGTGTATTTCTGATCTCTTCTGAGGTCAATATACTATAATAATTCAGTTTCTGAAATTTTTGTAAAATTAATACTAGTGCAAACATATTAACATAATGAGGTGTTTATCTAATTTCTTCCGTGTATTCGGATACAATAAGCTTCTAATGTCCTTATTGCTATTATACTGTTTGCCAATAGTTTCTGTTTGTTTTCAGTCACTGCTCAAACTAATTCCCAGTGGAATAATAGCTTGGTGGTTGAATCGATTGTAGCCATATAATCTCAGGTTCACATACTACTTTTGTTTAGGTTGTCGGCGGTTATGTTTCTCAGTTTAAACTTAAATAAGTCTTAGTTATGCTTATTCGCTTCACAATAAATTTCGAGTAAGAATATTTTACCTCATCGACTAAAATCAGCAGAAAAAGTGGTCGTCCTGACAAAACAACTGGTTGCAGCAACAAGAGGGATATAAATCTGGATTCTGACATACATCGTACCGAACTTAGTATGACGGCATATTTAATTCGTTTGCTTTTGCCATTATGAAACAAATTTAAATCTGTTGTTTGAAATAATATTTCTATGTAAATCAGGTGAATAGACTTACCTTTAATTACAGTTTTAGGTAGTTTTTATATTTACCTCACAATTTGAGTTGTACGTCCCCATTATTTACTATTGGTCACTCCCATTCATCTACTTCGAATATAATTGATATAAAGATGAATTTCTAAAGTAGAATCTCTGTCGACATTCAGATCAGTATGTACTTCGAATAGGACTTTCTGGGTCGAATAGCCACTCGCAAAATACTTACCAGATGTTCATGATGTGATTTCATTAAACCAATATGCCTCGTCATTTTTAACTCCACGACGAAATAAGACTTTTTTTATTGATCTTTATATATTCATAATCTCAGGTAATCTTAAAGTAATTCATTAGGATTTTAGACGGTTTAGTCTGTAGAAGTAATCATGATGGACAAAATAGAGTCTATACAGGTCTCTACGAGTCACAACCAACAACTGAGTTTATGTGGGTATTTTTGAATCTGTTTTATGTGTTCTCAGGAAATAGCCCATGCGTTGAGGAGTTATCCTTAAACAGAAGTGTGAATTGAACTGGAAAATCCAAAACTAAACGTATATACTTTCCTAACAGAGCGATCAGTTAAATTACCTACTTATTAGCTTATCAAAGCATTCAGCAAATTTTGGAATTGTTTCTAGAATAGACCTACTGTCTTTCTAAACTCACATAGATGATCGATTGAAGATGTAAATAAATAAATATCAAAAAATCTAAATTGGATAAAGATATTACGATGTACTGAAGGACTTGGATTTCCGATCCAACCTTCGTCGATTCTACTGCATAGAAAGAATTTTAACTGGTTTAATAAATAAGCACTTTCGTCTAGATTTTAACGAGTAGTTTCACAGTATTTGGGCGCCGAGTTAATGTGAGACATTGAAGAGGAAAAATGTATTTGTAAAATCTCAGCAAAAAAATTTGGAGTAAATCCAACTTTTCGCCTGGCAATCTGGTCCAAGCTTTTTCAAGGAAAATATAATCAAACGTCAAAATCACCGAATATAAATAGGTACATGGTTCTGTGGTTTACCAGAGAAAGGCTTGGACCAGATTGCCAAGCAAAACGTTGGATTTGCTTCAAATTCTTTCGCTGAGATTTTACAAATACGTTCTTCCTCTTTAACTGGTTTGATATCTTGAAAAAATAACTTAAGTGTCGTCAAGCCTTTAAGACATTTCAAGTGCTTGCTGCTATGGAGCCCTACTTGGGAAAATTACCCTTTTAACACTTAGTGGCTTTTGTTGTACATGTAGCAAATATCAGTTGGTGGAAAAATTGCTCAACTAAATAGGAATATCTAATTATGTGTGTAGTTTCAAAATAATCAACCTAGACATTTAAACTAGCTTAAATCAATTACACCAATTTATCTATATTTAACCGTACGACTAAATAAGTTAAACCTCATACAATCCGTGAATGATACGGACCAAATATTGGGATGAAAAGGTTTCAAAAGGATTGCGATGATCAAATAATCTGAGACGTTATTTCATCTGTTACTTAACATAAGTCATGTTAGTAGAGAACAAAGTACGGTTGTAACCTTTTGTAAATATTGGTTTCCTCCTACTGTTGGGATCTTATATAGTCTCAATCTAGAAAAGGGCTATCGAATGGTAGTTAAGTGGTGTCGAATATGTATTCGAACAGCTATATTTTTGCGTTTCTATTGTGTAACGTCTCTTATGGAGCTATGAAGAGCTTACCATTGGTATTTTGACAACTGGCTAAAGAGTCAGAGCCTCTTTAAAATAACAATCTGTAATGAAGTATACTCTGATCACTATTATCTATAGGGTTCAGGAAAGCTCATTTTTTGGTGAGCAAACAACGCTGAGAGGTTCACAGGACTTCCCATAAAGGTAGTCAAAAAGTCCATGGACTTTCATTTCAAAACTTTTTTCATCAAATGAATTTTGTTCTCTTGATGTTACATTCGTGAAACCTAGGTCGGTTTATTAGTTTCTGAATGTATAATAATATAATATCCGAATTTACATTTCCATACTGAGGTAAGAAATGGATGAGAATTCCAAGTAAACCGTGTGTTCCCACTAGTCTCAGCTATTGTACGCTGGTCATAAATCCTTCATACTCTTTGTAAAGCAGATAGAATATGGCTACCGGTAGGTTTCGTCCTTCTTGGGGCTCATCGGCTGAATGTATGTGCGTTCGTGTGCTGATCTTCATATCGGGACATAAAATCAGTACCTTTCTCTTCACAACTTGCGAAATAATGGTTATATCAAGGTAATCGGCACTGGGTGCACATATGTCAACTAAAACTGAACAGAATCGAGTCGAAAATATCAACAATCAGATAGTTTAACCCTTTACGAATGAAATTGACTGTGTTGTGTTACTTTTCCTGTAACTATACGCCACATGCTTTGAATATCGACAGCCGGATTAGTGACTTGATTCTCCCCATAACACGTTTAACAAACACTAACTGTTTGGATGTAAGGATGATTGATTAAGATTGCGATTTGAAAAAAAAAAGTTTATCCTAAAGCAACAAAATGTTGGTTGCATCAGTTGTGATTCTGTCAATAGGAGATATTTATTTGCTAGTATGCACTCGTTGATATTAGTTTTAATGTCTTAGATGCTTGTACAAATTAGTTTTTCGCTATACACACCAAAGTACATTCGATTGCCACCTCGATTTTAAAAATGCCAAAGAGATCCCAGCAAAAAAGATATTTCTTGGAGTTACTTCCCAGTATGATAGATTCTTCCAGGTAATAAATCATGTGCACACTAGTGAATCAACTACTTGCGAAAATTACCAGAGAACACCTATCTTAAAAGTTATCATACCACAAAATATTCCAAATACTAATAAATATATGTTACTGATGTATTATGTGTCATTTTGAAAATTTTGTCAGATATACTCAAGGTAAACCGTGAAGTGTATCAAACATATGAAAGTGGTCATATAAGGACCAATTAAAGTAATAAACGACAAATAGAACCATACGATGGTGAGTCACGCGAAGTATTAACTTAGTGGTCAAAGATTCAGACTCTGCTCAACTTTCTTGGATCTTGAGAACCAGAAAGGTTCACTAACCTTAACAGATAATAGGTATGATCCAACTTCCGAGCAAATTACCCTGTACTTCACAAAAGAACAACGTTGTATCACTATAGTTTTACATGTTCAGAAACAATTATCCGAATACATTTATAGGTATTTGATAACTATTTAATGTTAGTAAACTAGTTCTGAATGAATATTTTTGGTTTCTGGACAACTGACTAGTAAAATCTGTCCTTGTGATGCTGTATTAAGTGAATATTCATTCCAGATAAGCAAGGACTTGTTGATAGGTTGGGGCGAACAACACTGGAACAAAGCAAATCGACCCACATTCACTGTACTAAATAAATCTTATTTATTTATTTAAACCCCGAAATACTGGTACGAAGTAGCGCCGAAAAAATTCTGAGACAATAGAACAATGAGACCATAAAGAGATAGAAGGCATGATAAAGAAAAGACAAGTGAATGGTTGTAAAAAAATAATGGAAGAAGCAGTTCAGTTAAGAGAAGTTCCTCTCACTCATACGAAGTTAAATGAAGGTTACAACAGGACCACCAATGGCTTTTATCCTGAGACTTTTCTGAAAACATCTCAAGCCACTGTGCTACACTAGAACCCCAACCAGGAAGTCATGGATGTCTGACATATGCCAGTTATGTACAATTGTCTTTCATACCACGGTACTGTCATAAACTGACCACCGCTTTTTCGAACCAGTCTCAGCATCAGAAAATAATGTTTTGATATATATGCATGCATATCCTCTAAATCATCGAAATAAGTTGTGAAGATCATAAACAATTCGGGAAAAAAACAAGTCTTTATCGAGAAGCTCATTAAACCAATAGAAAATAAATGAATGCTCCTCACAATTAACGTGAATTTACATTTTGGTGTACTTGTATAAGAAAGTATATAGGTAGGACTGAGAAAAGAAGTCCTGAAAATAATCCTAGAAACCAAATTTCACAATAAAACAAAGTCCTCACAAATAAAATACACAGGTCCTTAGTGTACAGTCGACACAATATGGTTATTTCATAGATAATTAAAAAAAGCAATGAGTACTAGATTTATCTCACTCCAAAGAATCTTTTTCAATCAAGAGTACACTATAATTTATCTATATGAATGAAAGAATGATAAGCTGATATTGTAAAAGAAGAAAAGTTACTAAAATAAGCTAACTATAACATAATCCTTTGTTTTTACCGACCCAGAAACTTTTATTCACTCGATAAAATTTATAGCACTTTTGGTAAGTTTATAATTTATGGACGAACCAATCAGGTCTCGGATTTTGGTGCGAAATTCACTCATTCAATTTGCTAAATAGGGTTTTGGCATTATAGCTGATGTTAGTTCGTGATGAACACTCTAAATCTAATTCATAACCCTAACCATCAACTTTATATCATAATTCTAATTCCTCACGTTGGTTTATAACTCTCATTTGGTCCTGTTTATTAGGTGAACACTCTCAACGTCACTTTAGCGTCGCTCAAAGGTCGTCCATAAATTATAGTCTCACCGCACTATCAATTCAATATGTAATCATGTATAAATATTACGAGTTATGGTAATCATCTTACTTGCTACAAGTGGTTAGCTTTTCTAAATCAAAATTTGCGTCAATCTCAACCACAGTGTATTGTATTGTTTTTCACTTACATTACCATTTAACTGTCTTATTTTTGAACTCTTCTCTCAACTTTATGTTTAACCACATTATTTAAACATTTTATAGTTGCCGAGATTCCCTAAAACGGATAACAAATTCCTTCCATTCTACTAGTCTTGTTGTCTTAACTCTGAGTTCAAAATGATCAAAAGAATGAAATGTATAAAATGACATATGTATTTTATTTTACGGGTTATTTCCATTAGGATACTATTAAATGAAATGAAATGGTGACTTAATACTGAAATCAATCACATATTCGAACTAAATTCTCCTCAGTTCGGTTTAAGCGCCGAATCAATGTATCCTCAGTGATTATACACAAGTAATATACCTAAAATAGTGAATATGTAGTGACCTAGTTTTATCAAGAGGATGCGATTGGTGTAATGGAAACAATTATTATTATAACCAATTGTACCAAGGATTGTTTTACCGTACTTGTTTGTTTAACTGTACCAAAAACATATACATTCTTCCGTTGATTATGATCTTGCACGAATTCGATTACGCTCAGTAACCACACTTGTAACCTGGCACGATCTTGGTATTCTTTCGATACCACGAGATCGCCAACAAATACATTTCGACTACAGCCATCAACTGCCTTCTAATATTTGGCTTACGGGGGATCTTATCGGTTAACTGGCACGTAGTCTTCCTGTAGTGGTGATCATAGTCACCTGCGACTCGACGCCACACTACAAATGCATGAATTTGTACATCAATTAAATGAATATAGAAAATTGTCATTCAATAATGGAAAATATTTCTCCTTCATTAATAAAAAGTGCATATTCTTTGTTTAACATCATTTTCTATATAACTATATTTTCTTCAGTTCTATTACGATACAAATTTCGGACATTTATTGATTAGCACTAATAATTGTAAATAGTTGGCCAGTTTATACGAGAGAGTGAGAAAGGTCAACATAAAACAAGTTTTGAAAAGGCTGATGTATTTTACATATATATGCACTTTATTAGTTCATATGTCACTTCTATTATATGCAGTAATTATATGCTAAATCTATTCAATGTTATGCTTAATCATGGAATTATTCAAAATCAATTGGGAATACAATAAAATAATGTCTAATCAGATAATGAAATAAAATGTAAATATGTGATTCATACATACACCAGTCTGTTGAGGTGATCCATCACGGTGCTTGGTACCTATGTGGTTGCGCCACAGGATTGAGCTGTACTATTCAGATTGCAGAGTTAAAGCCTATGCTGTGTCTGGTTCTCCTATGAAGCGGGATTGAGCTGTACTGCTCAGGTAATAAAATGTAGGCCTGGGCGGTGTCTGGCTTTCCTGTTAAACGGAATTGAGCTGTACTGTTCGGGTTGTCACATGAAGGTCCGGATGGTATCTGGTTCTCCTGAAAACCAATGTAAAATTACCCTGGCCCACAAGGGTATATTATATAACTGTGAATTCCCCCAAATGCCCTGGTACGGCTGACAGTGGGGAGAGTCCGCTCTACCTCTCCAAATGCTCTCACATGGCCACGCGTATATAGCCACTGCCAGGCAAGTCCTACTCACTACTTTCTCGTGGCGGGGGTGTTGTTTACGAAATTGGGAGGACGAAAGCGAATGTCTCTCGCTTTAACCGGTTTGGTGGACATGGAGAGTCCACCTAGGGAAGTTGGAAAACCCTGATTACAAACCAGTGGTGCACATGGGCTCCAGTATCCTGAAGGAACAAATGGCGTATGAACCAATCGTTGGTCACTGGCTACCATGGGAATGCATCCTTACGTTGCTCCACTGCCTTGTGGTTTGGCCCCCTAAGAAAATCATCTACTTCGGTTCGGGCACTCGGGCAGTATCACAGCCCTCACACATATCAAATGAGATCTGTGTGGCGCATATGTATTTGGTGCCTCCTTGTACCAATGTCTATGTGTTAAAATAAATAAATAAATAAAAATCTCGTAAAAGACAAGAAAAGATCAGGAGAACACTATGAAGCACTTTATCCAATCAGCGTTCATTAGAAGTTTAGCCAGAAACATCAAGAAAGTGAGAAGTAACATGTAGAGTTTCTGATTGGTTGATTACCCGTACTGCTACTATGTTTAGTAGCATTCTAGAATTCTCGGGAAACCCAAAGACACCTAATATACTATAAAAACCCTATATTTTCTGTACTAAAATAAACCTTTGGAGTAGAGTGCTTCTCGCATATTTTGCACCTTTTCTCTCGTGTTCAGGTTGCTGTGTAGTTCTAGCTTGGGGGTTACGAGAATAGCTTAGGAACAGAATATAGCGTTCAATTAGCAAGGCTTATCAAAGTCAAACATAAGTAATTGGTTATTATGAAGAAAGATAGATAATTTTGTTAGCAGTGTATTTTTATTATTCAATGAAAAGTGTTGGATAATAAGTTTTTTCGTGATTTGAGCATTACTTTAGACCTATTCAATCCCTTCTTAGTCAACACAATGGATGATTACGTGGGGATTATTCAGTCTAAAACTAGTGAAATAGATTGGAAAACTGCCAACTATCAAGGAACATCAAACCAATGTTTCATACTTGTGTAGGACTTTGAGATCGTGGGGATGATTTGTAGCTCAGGTGGATGATTTTGATGGAGCATTTTTCTTTGAGCTGGATGTTTTGGTCGTTAAGCTTTCGTTGTTCTTCTGAACAACATAACCAGTAAAAACTTCAGATAGAAGTAAATTGTTCAGATTTCTCGACATATGATTCACAACTTGTCTTATCCACCTCGATTTGGAGATACAATCAAAATAAAAAAAGTAGACAATGACAGTTTAAACGTTAACAATAATCAGTCGAGGTGTTTTTCAGTCGAATGAATAAAAGCTCCACAACCAAATCATCCAATTCAAAGAACAAAACTCCACCTAAAATTGTGTAGGACATCTCAGAGTCCACAAATTCACACAAGAAAAAATTTAATTATAAAACTATAATGAAACGTTAATTAAAATGAAATAAATATTCGTTACATAAATTGAATTTTCTGATTGAGAATTTTAAAGTTAATTCATTTCCTCAACTTTCAAATCAACTATTCTTATGGTAGCCGGTCTAATGAAATAAATTAACTGACTGATTCAACAAATATTTAATATACTATCCAAACAATGATTTAATCAAATTACTGAAGAGAAAACACTATTCAAAGACTAATAGCTTATATTCCTTGAATCCATTACTTCGTTCGATCCTTTCCATACTAGAAGAAGAATTAAAAGCGAACACTATATATATATATACCCTTGTGGGCCAGGGTAATTTTACATTGGTTTTCAGGAGAACCAGATACCATCCGGACCTTCATGTGACAACCCAAACAGTACAGCTCAATCCCGTTTAACAGGAAATCCAGACACCGCCCAGGCCTACATTTTATTACCCGAGCAGTACAACTCAATCCCGCTTCATAGGAGAACCAGACAGTATAGGCTTTAACTCTGCAATCTGAATAGTACAGCTCAATCCTGTGGCGCAACCACACAGGTACCAAGCACCCTGGTGGACCATTCGCACCATTCATATACACATTCACATTACATGTATAGTTATTCCGATCAATGATCGCGTGAATCAATTATGCACAGCACGAACAGGTCAAAGTTCCGCTTACACGATGGTCAAACTCATTTATGTTAACAATGGCGACATGCCTTACAATGGCCCTCTGGAACACTGAAAAGCAACCACAAGTATGAATGAAATCGGTTAACCAGCAAACCAATTTTGTGCATGAACAGTCAGTAAACCTTGCCAAAGCAATGTCGAACCATCCACAATACCAATGGCGAACCTCCAGTCTCATATAAGACCTTCAGCTCTACATAGCCATATAGTTTATACTGCATACAACACATATGTAGGGTAGTGAGCGAAATAGCCCAGCCTGAGGCGTTAGGGCTTAAATAACGCCTAAAACCAATTGTCTGATGCCGGAATACTATAACTAGACCACCAAGATCATTTTTATCGCATTTGAGAAATTTTCATTTTTCCGACTTTTCAGACCTTGAGTTAGGAGTAGTATATATATATATTCTAGTAACACGAACAACACAGTTTATAGAATATCAATTCAAACGTTAGAGCTGACTGGTTGAAAATGGATCAAACAGCGCATTCCGACTTCAACCTGATCATATCATTCAATCGTGAGGAATCTATTCTAATAGAACAACTAATTATATTTTAATCAAGTCGATTTGAACCTAAAGTAAATTATATATTATGCCTTAATTATAGATGATAGGCTAATTTCAGAAAACCAGTAGTATATTAATAATTTGATCTTGTATATAAAAAAAAGGAAAATGTAGAGAAATTTTGAAAAAAATGAGATAGAAACAACAGTTATCTTTAATTGATTTTACAATCTGAAAAGGAATACAGATTAATCTTCCAAAAAAACTGTTATTGTACTTTAATTCTATTATTATAAACAGTACAGTCAGCTGTTATTGTTATAGTAATAACTTCCATCTTAATTTCGTTGCCAATGTCATATTTATTTGTGTACTTTTATTTGTTTTGTAACGAACTTCCAACATGTTCATAAACACACACATACACACCTTAGTACACATAGAAAGGTCATATCAACACATACGGAAGTAGTTTATTAAAGATTCTGTACAATTATACAATAGTTCTATCTGTCATGAAGAGATGTGACAGGTGAAGAATTGTTCAATGTTAAAAAGCACTTGACATTTGTATTATTTTGGTTTAAGAACCTTCACAAACGTATTCTAACAACACCACATGTGACCGAATTCAGAAGAATCAAATATTCAAGTTTTTCAGTCAGTCAGTCAGTTCAACGTGGAACTTCATACGTACGTACATCAGTTCGAGTTGCCACACCACATTAGCACAGAGATCCAGTTGTCGATTCAAATCCCATAGTGGTACAGGTAGTAAGAGTATAAGTAGTAATCCGAAAGATTAGGGTTTGAAGATGTTATCCAAGAAGTATAATACAGTGAAATAACTTTGGAAAGAAAAAAGGGACATGAAGAATTCAGAA